AACTCGTAAAACGAGATCAGGGTAGGTCATTCACCCCGAACGAGATTCTGCCCTTCGGCGGAACCTCGTCCGGGTTCCTTTCTGCTGAAAAGCAGAGAGTTCGACCGTCAAGTCGAAAAGATCGGCTTGATTCAGTATTCAGCCACCCCCACGAGGGTTGCATGCGACACAAGGTCATTTTTATCGTGGGTTTCCTGAGCCCGTAGGCTCAGCCAAAAAATATGCCCGTATAACTCGTAAAACGAGATCAGGGTAGGTCATTCACCCCGAACGAGATTCTGCCTTCGGCGGAACCTCGTCCGGGTTCCTTTCTGCTGAAAAGCAGAGTTCGACCGTCAAGTCGAAAAGATCGGCTTGATTCAGTATCTAGCCACCCCACGAGGGGTTGCATGCGACACAAGGTCATTTTTATCGTGGGTTTCCTGAGCCCGTAGGCTCAGCCAAAAAATATGCCCGTATAACTCGTAAAAACGAGATCAGGGTAGGTCATTCACCCCGAACGAGATTCTGCCCTTCGGCGGAACCTCGTCCGGGTTCCTTTCTGCTCAAAAGCAGAGAGTTCGACCGTCAAGTCGAAAGATCGGCTTGATTCAGTATCTAGCCACCCCCCACGAGGGTTGCATGCGACACAAGGTCATTTTATATCGTGGGTTTCCCTGAGCCCGTAGGCTCAGCCAAAAATATGCCCGTATAACTCGTAAAAACGAGATCAGGGTAGGTCATTCACCCCGAACGAGATTCTGCCCTTCGGCGGAACCTCGTCCGGGTTCCTTTCTGCTGAAAAGCAGAGAGTTCGACCGTCAAGTCGAAAAGATCGGCTTGATTCAGTATTCAGCCACCCCCCCACGAGGGTTGCATGCGACACAAGGTCATTTTTATCGTGGGTTTCCTGAGCCCGTAGGCTCAGCCAAAAATATGCCCGTATAACTCGTAAAAACGAGATCGGGTAGGGTCATTCACCCCGAACGAGATTCTGCCCTTCGGCGGAACCTCGTCAGGTTCCTTTCTGCTGAAAAGCAGAGAGTTCGACCGTCAAGTCGAAAAGATCGGCTTGATTCAGTATCTAGCCACCCCCCCACGAGGGTTGCATGCGACACAAGGTCATTTTTTATCGTGGGGTTCTGAGCCCGTAGGCTCAGCCAAAAATATGCCCGTATAACTCGTAAAAACGAGATCAGGGTAGGTCATTCACCCCGAACGAGATTCTGCCCTTCGGCGGAACCTCGTCCGGGTTCCTTTCTGCTGAAAAGCAGAGAGTTCGACCGTCAAGTCGAAAAGATCGGCTTGATTCAGTATCTAGCCACCCCCACGAGGGTTGCATGCGACACAAGGTCATTTTTATCGTGGGTTTCCTGAGCCCGTAGGCTCAGCCAAAAATATGCCCGTATAACTCGTAAAAAACGAGATCGGGTAGGTCATTCACCCCGAACGAGATTCTGCCCTTCGGCGGAACCTCGTCCGGGTTCCTTTCTGCTCAAGTGCAGAGAGTTCGACCGTCAAGTCGAAAAGATCGGCTTGATTCAGTATCTAGCCGACCCCCCACGAGGGTTGCATGCGACACAAGGTCATTTTTATCGTGGGTTTCCTGAGCCCGTAGGCTCAGCCAAAAAATATGCCCGTATGACTCTGTAAAAACGAGATCAGGGTAGGTCATTCACCCCGAACGAGATTCTGCCCTTTGGTGGAACCTCGTCCGGGTTCCTTTCTGCTGAAAAGCAGAGAGTTCGACCGTCAAGTCGAAAAGATCGGCTTGATTCAGTATCTAGCCACCCACCCCACGAGGGTTGCATGCGACACAAGGTCATTTTTATCGTGGGTTTCCTGAGCCCGTAGGCTCAGCCAAAAAAATATGCCCGTATGACTCGTAAAAACGAGATCAGGGTAGGGTCATTCACCCCGAACGAGATTCTGCCCTTCGGCGGAACCTCGTCCGGGTTCCTTTCTGCTCAAGAGCAGAGAGTTCGACCATCAAGTCGAAAAGATCGGCTTGATTCAGTATCTAGCCACCCCCCACGAGGGTTGCATGCGACACAAGGTCATTTTTATCGTTGGGTTTTCCTGAGCCCGTAGGCTCAGCAAAAAAATATGCCCGTATGACTCGTAAAAAACGAGATCAGGGTAGGTCATTCACCCCGAACGAGATTCTGCCCTTCGGCGGAACTCGTCCGGGTTCTTTTTCTTCTCAAAAGCAGAGAGTTCGACCGTCAAGTCGAAAAGCTCGGCTTGATTCAGTATCTAGCCACCCCCCACGAGGGTTGCATGCGACACAAGGTCATTTTTATCGTGGGTTTCCTGAGCCCGTAGGCTCAGCCAAAATATGCCCGTATAACTCGTAAAAACGAGATAGGTAGGTCATTCACCCCGAACGAGATTCTCCCCTTCGGCGGAACCTCGTCCGGGTTCCTTTTCGCTCAAAAGCAGAGAGTTCGACCGTCAAGTCGAAATGATCGGCTTGATTCAGTATCTAGCCACCCCCACGAGGGTTGCATGCGACACAAGGTCATTTTTTTATCAGGGTTTCCTGAGCCCGTAGGCTCAGCCAAAAATATGCCCGTATGACTCGTAAAACGAGATAGGGTAGGTCATTCACCCCGAACGAGATTCTGCCCTTCGGCGGAACCTCGTCCGGGTTCCTTTCTGCTCAAAAGCAGAGAGTTCGACCGTCAAGTCGAAATGATCGGCTTGATTCTACCCTCTCTCTTGAGAGGCGTAGTATACATAGTGTTAGGAAGAGTTCATTCTGTAGTTATAGGTAAGGACCCATGACAGTAGGAATAAAAATAACATTTAAAAATGAAACCCCAATGAATATTTCCAAAAAAGGAAAGTTCATAAGAACAATTATTATGAAATTATTTATAGTAAAGGCACAGGGAAGCTACATTACAGTGGGAAGGCGGCTGAAGCCGATATGCTAGGTCAAGACCAATTATATTGCAGATTCTTGTTTGGATTTTATCAAGAATTTCTAAATATATGGCATGAGCACCAGACCAGATGTAACAGCAATAGTCAAAGCATGGATGAATAGTAGATTAATAAATATTCTGTTGAGAAAAAATTTATACCGGGTGTAACAGCAAAATTGTTCAAATCGTGTCAAAATTGTCCAAGTGTTAGATTAAGCTCTGAACCGTTCTATCGTAGAAATGATTAAAGATATCTTACTGGAATTCTCCGAGATTTTTATAACATTAGTGGACTCTAAGCAATAAGAATGTATAAATACCCTCTAATACTTAACACAAGTATCATGATGAAATGTTTCATGCAACAAAAACAGACTATCATTAGCGTTCCGTGTATTGGTTGATATATTGAAAAGTAATTGTCATCTTTGATAATGGCTTATGTAAGCCGAAAGCTTAGATTGGATTTAAACATGTATCAATATGGTGATTTCCTTTCGTCCTTCAATGATAATGTTATTAAGCTTATCAGAGAATATGAAAAGAACTTACTTAAAATAAATAGACAAAACTTGTCTATATTATTTAATGAAACATGCATCAATATATATATATATATATATATATATATATATATATATATATATATGTGTGTGTGTGTGTGTGTGTGTGTGTGTGTTCCAGGATCATTTTCCAATTTATTTAATATAATCTTCGCCCTCTTTAGCCTTCTAAGTTTCTGTCCTGGAGTAACAAGTTGTCTCAGAGGTTTCACGTACGATTTCATTCTCAAGTCTTTTTTTTTCACTGTTCTTTGTCATAGCTGAAACTTCTCTGTCAAGTTACAAACGTCTTCTGAATTGAGTTGTATCTTTTCTAATTGATCTTTTTAGATCTAAGTTGAAATGATGATCCCTCTTTCTCTTGTGACCTCCTGATCCAGTTTTCCTCTCTACGGTTCCCCCTTTTTAAACTTATTCACCATTCTCTTGATGGTTCTTGAATGGACTTTTAAGATGGAACCATTACTGAAGGCCTGAATGATGTTTTTCCGTTCACCGTTTCTCATTTGGGAAGACAGCGGGTCTGACACAAAACAATTTTAATCTTCTATCTTTCTATCTGAATAGCTCAAAGGGTTTTTTAGTGATTTTTAAGACAATGGTGTCAAAATGGCTAAACGTCTAATCTAAAAAACCTGGAGAAAAGAAACTCAATTAGTTTAGTTTAGTTTTTTTTCTTTTTTTTTTTTTTTACACAATTTGGACAATTTTGCTGTTACACCCGGTATAGTACGGCACAGTCAATCAGTCAATCAACTTTTCTAGCAGTGGAATTAATTCAATATAATTTTAAAGAAATATGAAAATTTTAGCACTTGAACAAATATACAAATTTACGTATAATTACGATAGTCAGCTAGTTTCATGGTTTGCGACTTGAAACGAGAATTCGGTGAAGCCATTTCGTTGTATTTACTTTCGCACAAATGATCTTGGGAAAGGTATGAATCCATCTCCCCCTATTTAAGGATTAAATAGCAGAGCAACCTGAGTTCTCTACCTACGATTGGCAGCCAGTCTTGGAGAATGTTGACTCTGAATTCAAAACTGTGCATAGCTTTGAATATCATACAGCCATGAAAAAATATTATGGAGTTCAAAATTAACTACGATGCGGTATTCTGGACCCTGATCCCGACTGCTGTCGATGACATAGGCATAAAAAAACATAATAATTACTTTAGCAAAATAATAAGAAATCAAAACATCAAGTAAAAAGTTTATTTGTTTTAATTATCTGGGTTCCTAGATTGACTGAGTGATTTGTCTTTTACAGTTTATCAACATTTTAAAGGTTATTTAAAGGCAAATAATTTTTTTTTGATTGTAAGAATGTTTTGTGGTGAGATAATAATGATTTACTAATACAAGTCTTAATAATTAACCCATGGCTTGGGGGAGAGGTGGGTTCATAGCTTTCCCAAGATATTTCTGTCTAAGTGAATATAATGAACCTGACTGGAATTGAAACTCGGCCCCTGATTTCCAATTCCGAGCCGTTATTCATTACACCACCCGCACATCCAAGCTTACAGTACTAGGTATTCCAAAGCGATCACACATCTAGGTTTTGACCAGACCTGACGTTGCTTAACTTCGGTGATCGTATGGGAAATAGTGTTTCAACGTGATATGGCCGTATGCTTAGAATTGTAATTTTTTTTTACTTCTATAAGGCGGGTATTAAAAAAATAAAATCTGTAAGTAATGCTTAAAAGTAAGTAAGAATAAAAAAAAATTTCAATGTAATGAAATAGACAGCCTACTCACAAACTTCCTTTTCTACTGATTATTATATTTTCTCAAAGAATTTCGACAATTTCCTGCAAGAGATGGTTTTTCAACAACCAAGCAGCAGCAGCAGCAGCACAGATCCCCTTCGAAGTATTCGTTACTTACAGAACATCCGAATTCTATGCTACCGGAATAAATAAACTTGTTTACTATTAGCAACAAGGTGTTAATTCTGGGAACTTCATTGTGGTGTAATGATGGGCCATGTGGATTTGTAGATGATAAAGTTTATGCATTCCACCATACAAAAAGACTTATTCCCAAACTAAGCTTTCCTTCTATTTTTTTTTTTTTTAAATCGATTCACCCTAAGCAAGGCAACAACGCCACTAAGACTCAAGAGACTGCTGGGAGGGAAAGAGAACGAAAATACTTTCGAAGGAATCAAAAAGCCAATCCTAAAAAGGGAACATAGAACAAACCCTTACCCCTGTTCAAAAAACCGCGGAAGAGTATCGATCGACTATAGGCGAATCTATCTACTCTTATTGAGGAGAAAAAATAATTAGCAAATAAAATTTTCAGGTGGAGGAGACGTTAGAAGTATAGAGTTGAAAAGAGAAGCTGGATCGAGCGATAGTAAAGGGGGATTATATATAAGGGTGTTTCATTAAGACGGATCAAAGTCAGCAGTAAATAAATCAGTGTTATTGGTGAAAATTTATTTAGTTATCTATTAGATCATGTTATTTAAGTCATGGCAATTATGTGTGAAAAATAATATCTCCAAAATGTCCGCTAAATCTGAAAGAAAAAGGACATTATTAGACGCTTAAACTTAATTCACATTTAAAATCGGTCCAGATTATTGGAACACCCTTTATATAGCAATAATGCTTAAATTCTAAAAGTTTTTACTTATGTAGATTAGTAAATTTTATTTCAATCTGATATATTTTACATTAAAGTTAATGCTTAAATATGAATTTGGATCAACCAAATACCCTCATTTTGTTATTTTTAACGCGAGTAAATAGGGAAGATAAAGCAATATTTCTATCTGATTCCGACACAACTTTTCGTTCGTCATAATGAGGTCGATACGTATTGTTAAAAAATCAAATTTACCCCAATCAAGGCACTAAAGCCACTATGACATAAGTGGTCAATGAGTGTGGAAGAACAGAAACAATACTAAAGAAAGAAAACGAGGGAAAAGTAATAAAGAGGACAGCCGATAGTGATTATATTGCATTTAAATTTTGGAACATTAAAGTTGACTGGTAAGCATGGAGTCGAAAGAGAGTTTCCTTAGCGAGAAGTGAGATACAAGAAACGGTTAGCATGAAACTAACGTGTTTACGTATAACCAACTTAACTGTAAATTGATGAGTCATCGTTGCCAGTTAAATACTGCACTTAAATTAATGTCCATATACCATAGTGAAGTATTGGTAGAAAAGACACCGGGAGGCAACTTTGAGGTGGTGGAAAAGTCACTGAAGCTGAGACGCCAGACCAGGACCAATAAAATTGCTGATTCTTCTTTGGATTTTATCAAGGATCTCTTGGCATAAAACAGGAACTCCGAACAATGTGTGGCAGCAATATTCTTAGCATGGACGAATGGTAGACTTATAGATATGAAAGATAGATCCTGGAGAGAAAAATTGTCTAGCCAACCAACTGTCTTAGCAGCTAAGCAAATTGCATGTAAAGTGATATTTTTTTTAAATTAAAAAAAAAAAAATAATTACAACATTTAAGTAAATAAAAATGAAATTGTATCTATTTTAGGTGTATTTGGTTTGCAATCTTATGACTACTGAAAGCGTTATTAATATCAATGTGGAATGTCATGAGCTTTTGAATGATAAGCATTCTTTAGACACTAATTTGAACCGCTTGGTTTTAAACAACGAATTCATTTGAGCCGTTTTAGAAAACCAAGTTATCTAATGACTGCTTTTTTGCAAAGGTAGTTAAGAAAGGAATTTAGAGGTAATGCTGCTTACTGCAACGTATTCGGTTCGTTAACTGAATTAAAGGAACTGCACCTGCTCACAGGGTCTATGCATCTATTCTGCAAAGAGATTGGCTATTCTTGTCTCTTGTCGTACAAGAGCGCATATAATGATATACAATAGTTAATAATACAAAAGTGTGAATATGTTTCTCTACATTAATACACACATATTCTTCTCAAACTAGTCCTCTTCTTTTCTCCCTTCCCTTTGAATATCTATCACTCTCTCTCTCCTTTTACCCCATATATATATATATATATATATATATATATATATATATATATATATATATATATATAGGTAAGTGAATGACAAAATGGAAAACATATGAGTGACACGTTTCGTTAGAAAGGAAATTTCTTAGATAACATGAATTCCTGAGAACATCTTTGAAGAAGATCATTATCGGAACAAAATGTCTTGTTATTCATTTGTCCAGCATTACACTGATGCGTGCGAACCCCCCCACATATAATTATATATTGCGTATAATTTGGCCGCATGTTTTCATTAAGACACGTCTCATTGAATAATTCATCCAAAATGCAAATTTCCTACAGTGAACTAAAAAGATATGAAGCAAATTCTTCTTAATAATAATTTCTCTAATTATATTATTGATGAACAAATAATATGTTGTATGAGAAATTTTAATTCAAAGCAAATATAAGACTTTTTCAATTAACCCATAACGTATTAATCTTTTATATCGCAATCAAATACATTCTAATTATAAACAAGACAAAATATCATAAAAATAAATACTAATATATCCACCACAGATCCTAATGAAAAAATAACAATAATTAGATACTATACAAAATTCAATATATCCAATTTAATCCTTCTTAATGACTCCTCCCCAACAATTAACATGCTGCAGAAAACCAACAGTGTATATAAATTTAAATGTCATTTGGGAGATTGTATCTCCAACAGAAAAAATAATATAGATGGTGGTCATACTACTACTACTACTACTACTACTACGTTGTCTTGACGGTTGAGTTTTCATTTGAATGATGCATCAAACATATCACAACATTTACGACAGCATGGCTGTCCATACTCGCAATTTAGAAAAATTCTTGTTGAAAATACATGTATACTTTTTCCTGAAAATAATAAACATAAACTAAACATTCTTGAAACTATTTATATTAAAAAACTGAAACCAACCGTTAATAAAATTAATTATGAATACTGCACAAATGTTTTAAAATGTTTACAGTAGATAGTTTAAAATATATAGCTTTTAACTAATTGTCTTAGAAAAAACATATGGACATTTCAAACTTAGTTACCTCCCCTGAGGTTTCAAATGTGAAATTTAAATCGTACAGTACACAACCTAAGCGTTTTTCAGTTCAAAGTTAAAAAAAAAATAACTTTCAGATGAACACAACAATTTTGTCTTAGAAAAAAACAAAAAAAACAACACCCTGATAATGACAATGTGCCAATGTCGAAAATACCTGGAATAAATGAATATGTATCAACATGGTAATTTTATCTCTTCCTTGAATAAGGATGCTAAGAAGCTTATCCGTGAATAAAATAGGGTCCTATTGAAAATAAATAGACAAAAGTTGTCTAAAATATTAAATATTACGGGATACAGTTATAATAATAATAATAGTTTGTTCACTTACCTCTTGAATGTATCTTATCTGAATTTCATGGCATCACATCCATTCTTTGGTTGACGTGATTTATTTTCAGAAATCATAAAAATATTTGACTAAATTAAACCAGTAGAACGCATATACAAAATCTAAACGACAATTAAAGAAAGTTTATGTAATAAAAATAATGTATTTTAAGGAAACTATATTTTCTGAAAATATACGTAGTTCCCCATCACGTCTCCCGAAGAGTAAATGGGATACGATGAAACTGGCAGACGTTTAAGTTACATCAACACATTCATTTAGCACACACACACACACACACACACACACACACACACACACACACACACACACACATATATATTTTTATTTTTACTTAAAAGTAAAAATAACAATAAAATCATCCTTGATAATGGCTAAAAGTGTAGCCGAAATTGCTCGGACATACTAAGCATTTGGGCAATTTATACATAATTTACGCCCAGAAAAGGAGATAATTATAGCACAAGAGAAATTGGCTAAGAAAACTTAACCGCAGTCTTTTTAATGAAAGTTGTATAAAAGAAGAATTGTTTTCTAAAACACCATTATATATATATATATATATATATATATATATATATATATATATATATATATCAGGGAAAAGCTTAACACATCACGAAAATACGGTAATAAATCATGATTTATTTTGACCAGTAAGTCACATCACATTTTGACCAGTAAGTCACACATTAGAAAAAAAAAAAAAAAAAAAATGTGAAAAAATCTTAGAAATATTTAACTTTATGTTAAGAGTTTAACAACTATTTTAACTAGCCTTTTTTAAAAACTTTGATGCTCATTTATGCTTGAAGTATTTATTGAGATACTGAATGAGGCTTAATGAATTAGCACTGGACAATAAAAATGTCACCCACCTAGTGAAACAGTTTGGTGGCGCAAATAACCTCCTACTATATAGCGACATGAGTAGTGAGTTCTATCCTCACTGGGTACCCCATACTTTCGGCCTTGTGCCACATCTAAGCCGGGCATAGAAAATCACTACTATATAGCGACATCTATCTATCTTTTTTTTTTTTTTTGTGGGTGTGGGTGTGTGTGTGTGTGTACATAATATATACAGGGTGCATCAAAAATGTTTTTAGAAACTTTAGGGGCGGATTCATAAAAGTCCATAGAAACGTATGCCCGCAAATCCTTCGCTTTTGAGTTATTAAGTTTAGAGTTTACGGTAGACACTGTTA